AAACCCCAAAACCCCAAAACCCCTTGAGTCAAATTTTAGTTAAAATTTAAAGTGATTTGTTCGATGAAAAATATGTAATAATATATTATTAAATAATTTTCGCTTAAATATTACATCTGTTTGACTAAAGAATTAAAAAGAAACTTTGTTTTCTTATAGAATAGTTTGAAATATAAACAAATTAATTTTCAAGATCAAGTAGTTTCAATTCAAATGTCAACAATTGAATTTAAAAGATTCTTTAGAGATCTCTCTACTAAAGATAAGACTCTAATTGCAATAGGGACAGCATCATCAGTATTAACAGGAATATTACTTCCGATGTTCGCCTTTCTTACGGGTGATTTGGCTAATACTTTCGATCCCAACTATCCAAGAGATAAGCATGAAGAAGCCATCACTACTCTTGGATTTAGAATGGGCTTACTTGGATTCGCGGTTTGGATATTCGGCTATATTTTCTTTGGATTTTGGCAACATACTGCTGAAAATATTATTTTCAAGTTAAGATCATAGTACTTGAATTGTTTGCTGAGATTGGACATCTAAGAGCTGGAAAATATGAGTATTGAATAGCTCCCTTCTCAGTTAGGTGAAAATTTCAATATTATTCAGGAGTCTTTAGGACAAAGATTTTCATTAATTGTATTTTCAATCACTAACATTCTTGCTGGAATAGTTGTAGCTTTTATTTTTGGGCCTGATATAACTGCAATATTTCTAGTGATTTTTCCAATACTTCTAGTGATTGTGTTTGCCATTGGAGCTAGAGTCCAGAAATTTTCAATAAAAAAATAGTCACTTCTATAACAAATGGGAGGAGTTGTTGAAGAATCCCTGATGTCTATAAAACTTATTACTTCTTTCTCATAGGAGGAAAAAGAAATATAAAAGTTTGAGAAACTTGTGGATTAAGCTAAATAAATTTCAGATAAGTCAGAACATTGGATAGCCGCTTTTATAGGTTTTTTGAAATTTGTACTCTTCTGGTTTTACGCATTCGAAACTTATTTAGGCACTTTTTTCATTTAATATAATCTCACTAATCCAAGCTCCCATAAAGACTATATTGCTGGAGATGTTATCACTGTAGTTATGTCATTCATTTATAGCACTGGCATGATATTCAATATCATTCCTAATATTTAATCAATAATCAAAGCGAAAGTGGCTGGAAAATAAATTTTTGAAATTATTGATCGTGAACAAAATAATCATGCTGCACCAGAATTGAAAATTTAAAACTTTGAGGTGAGCGAAAGTATAATCTTTGATAAAGTTACGTTTAAGTATTAGAAAGCAAATAAAGAAGCACTAAAGGATGCTTCATTTACAATTAAGGCAAATAAATCTACGGCAATAGTAGGGAACTCCGGTTGTGGGAAAACAACCATTATATAATTAATAGAAAGATTTTATGAGCCAAATGAAGGAAAAATTTACTTCGATAAACTAAATATATATGATATAGACTTGAGAAATTTGCGAGAGTCTATCGGCTTAGTTTAATAAGAGCCGGTATTGATTATGGGAACCATAAGAGATAACATTCTGTTGGGAAACAAGGATGCATCCTTAGATTAGATTAAAGAAGCAATTAAAGTTGCGAATGCAGAATTCATCTACGAATTCGAGAATTCTCTCGATACCTATGTTGGGTCATCGAATATTCTTAATCTTTCTGGAGGTTAGAAATAAAGAATTGCTATTGCAAGGGCGCTAATAAAAAATCCAAAGATATTGATTTTAGATGAGGCTACAAGCGCTCTTGATCCTAAAAGTGAAAAAGATGTCTAAAAAGCATTGTTAAATATTTAAAGATCAAACCAATAACTTACGATTATCGTAATTGCTCATAGAATTCAAACAATCTTGTCTGCGGATAATCTAATTTACTTAGATAAAGACTATAAAATTGTTTAAGCCTCTAAAAATACAGATCAATATCACCAACTAGTTAAGATATTAGAAGAAAATTGTCAATGGGATGAGAATAGTTAGGATCCATAGTTAGGATCTGAAAAATAAATTAAATTTAAATCTCCAGAACAAAGAGTTTAAGAACTTAATGAATCTATTATTGATGAAGAGTTAGATGATTAAATTGAGAAAGAGGTAAAAGACTTTTAGCTAATCTCTATGAATGATCAGACAGTCAAACTAAATTCTTCGGATTAAGACATGAGCTAAAAGGAGTATGGAATGAAGGATATAATGAAATATTACAAGCCGAATTCAAAAATTTTCTTAGCCTTCATTGCAACGTTTTTGAACGCTTTTTCTTATCCTGTTTATGGGTACATCTTTGCTAAAGTAATATTTGTAATGATTGGCAAATCACTCCCTACTTTTATTGAAGATAGAAATTTTTGGTGCGGGAGCTATATGGCTGTAACTTTCGGCATTGGTTTGTTTGAATATTTCAAAGGATCTCTTTATTCTGCTCTGAGTGAAAATCTGACTAGTACTTTAAGAAAAGGTCTTTTTAACTCCATGATAAAAAAGAATATAGAGTGGTTTGACAAGAAAGAAAGAGCTCCAGGCATCCTAAGTAGCTTGTACTTAGAGGATATCTCTCACATAAAGGGCCTTACTAGCTAAACTTAAGGGTTAGTTCTTGAGGCAATTCTATGTCTTATCATTGGTATTACATTAGCCTTTATAAGCTCTTGGAAAATCGCATTAGTTACTCTTTCTATCTCCCCTCTTCTAATTCTCGGGGGTGTGGCTGAGTAAATGATCGTCTGGGGTTCATTCAAAAAGTCAGCCAAATAAGTCAAGGGAAAAGAAGAGGAAATTGACCCATATGATAGAGCAAACGCATTACTCTCAGACATTATTATCAATTATAAGACTGTCATTGGACTTGGACAAAAGAATGTAGAGTTTCTAGTTTAGAAGTATCAAGATTTATTAGAGGAACCAAGAAGAAATGGAATAAGATAAGCACACATTTCAGGTATTATCTATGGATATTCCTAGAGTATTAGATTACTATTTCTTGGATTAATTTTCTATATTGCTACAATATTTCTCTTTCATCACAATGATGACGCACAAGATACCTTTGTTAGCATTTATACACTTTTTATGTCAGCTATGTAAACAGGTTCATTATTCTCCTAAGTACCTTCAATTTCCAAATCAAAGCAAGCTGCTAATAAAATTCTATCTATCATTGAGAGTAAGACTGCTGACGAAAGCTTATAGGAACAAAAATCAAAGAGCGATCAACTAAAACATAGAATACTAAAGGGAGAAATTGAATTTAAAAATGTGAGCTTTAAATACCCATCAAGAGAAAAAATAGTTTTGAATAGCTTTTCTTTGCAAATACCTCTAGGACGTAAGGTAGCTCTAGTAGGGCATTCAGGCTCTGGTAAAAGCACTATTACCAGCCTTTTACTTAGGCTTTATGATTTTGAGCAAGGACAAATTCTTATTGATGGTGTGAATCTGAAAGATTTTGATGTTAAATCATTGAGAAATTCAATCGGCTATGTAATGCAAGAGCCATTACTTTTCAATATGTCTATCAAGGAAAACATTATCTATGGAAATGATAAGGCATCAGATGAAAAAATAAGAGAAGTTGCTGAGTTAGCTAATGCTCTAGAATTCATTGAAAATTTTGAAGACAGTATAGAAGGAGATCATACTAAATATCCTTAAAAAATTCAAAAGATTAAAACTATTCTCAACAGTTTGTAGCAAACTAATTAAGACTGCAAATAGATTTTAGAGAAAAGATCAAATGATATAGAAAACCAATTAGAGAGTATCATAAAAAGTTAAGAAGCCCTGGGAACAAAAGAAATAATACAAGAACTTCTTTGGAATTCAGAACAAGAAAACATTAAGGAGTATCTTAGCAGTGAAAAGAACTTTATTCAGTATTAGGAAGTTATGTTAAAAGCTTTTAAGACATTCAAAAAGATGTTTGATCTCAGTACTGTAGTTGACTTTGTAAATAGAGCAAATTCTCAAGCTAAGTTTGAAGACTTTATTGCAAAAAATTAAGAAAGAATAAGAATTAGAAATGAGGCAATTCTATCCTCTTTAGATCAATTAATGTAAAATGATCACTTCAAAATAAATACAGAAATGCTACTTAAGAGTGACAAACTTCATCCAGGCTTTAATAAGATTTGTGGTTTAAAAGGATCGATGCTTTCAGGCGGCTAAAAGCAAAGAATAGCTATTGCTAGAGCATTGATTAAAGACCCAAAGATTTTGATACTAGATGAAGCTACCTCTGCTCTTGATGAATAATCATAAGAATTAGTTAACAATGCTCTTGAAAAGGCTATGGTCGGAAGAACATCTATAGTTATCGCACATAGATTGAGCACAATAAAAAACTGTGATTGGATTTGTGTTTTGCATAATGGTCAAGTAGTGGAATAAGGAATATTCTAGAAGCTATCAGAGGATGAAAAGTCTTATTTTTATAAACTAAAATCTGGCATGGAGATGTGAAGTCTTATTAATTATAAACTAAATTGATTATTATTTCTGAAAAAGAAGACTTTAGTTAAAGATTTAGATTATTTTATTTTCCAAATTTGACTCTATTTTTATATCAAGGGGTTTTGGGGTTTTGGGGTTTTGGGG